AAAAAGAGTCTTTGCAGGTATGATTAAGTTAGGGAGCTTGAGAAAAGATCCTCCTGGGCTATGTGGGTGAGTCCTCCATCCAATGACAAGTGTCCTTATAAAAGACACTCAGACAAAGAGGAGGAAGCCGTGTGAATATGGAGGCAGAGACCGGAGTGATGCGGCCACAAGCCAAGGAACTCCTGGAGTCACCAGGAGCTGGAAGAGGCCAAGAAGGATCCTCTCCTAGAGCCTCTAGGGGAAGCACAGCCTTGCCAACACCCTGACTGTGGAGTCTGGCCAGGCATAACTGTAAGAAAATAAACGTCTGTTGTTTCAGGCCTCCCAGTCTGTGATACTGTATTAGGGCAGCCCAGGAAACAAACTCAGAGTCATATATATTCACTCACTTAATCCCCACCCAAACCTATGCAGTTATTATGATTAGAAGATTAATCTTACAGATAAGGAAACTAAAGTTTCACTTACTTGCCTAAGGTCACCATGGGTACCTCGCAAAGCTGGAATTTAATCCTGGCAGCCCAGCCCCGCAGTGGTGGTGGTGACCACGCTCTACTCTGCAAGAGCAGCAGGAACTGAAGTTTCTTTCCAGCATCCTTGCAAGTGGCCATCCCCTCCCAGGTGTTGGGTGCTCACAGCTTCCCAGAGAGGAGTCCCTCTGATGAGAATGTTTGTCTTTATAGGGAGCTGAAACCTGCCTCCCTACCACTTCCAGGTGTGGGCTCAGGGCGCATGGGGCGGGGAGAGCAGCTTTGGCTTCGGAAGACTGGTGGCTTCCACGCTGCTTGCTGTGAGTGAGCCCCTGGGTCCCAACCTCTCGTCCCTAATAGGGAGATCTTGGTGGTACCTGCCCCCCCGCCTCGTAGGTCGTCCTGAGGGTTATGTAGTGACCACGTGGTGGCAGTTGGGGGTGGATTCCCTGTGAAGCTACGTACAGACCCTTCCAACGCCTGGGAGGGCCTGAGCTCTGGGTTCATGTGGTCATGCGTTTGGAAATGTTTTCCAAAAGCGAGATATTTTAGCTGTAACTGGCTAAGCTGGCTGCCAGAGTTGCCAAGATAGGGTTCCACAGACAGAAGAGCTGTAACAACAGAAACTTATTTTTCACAGTTCAGGAGGCTTCAAGGCTGAGATTAAGGTGTTGGTTTCCTCCGAGTCCCCTCTCCTTGGCTCGCAGATGGCCGTCTTCTTGCTGCATCTCCACAGGGGCTTCCTTCTGTGTCTCAGTCTCTTCTTCTAAGGCCACCAGGCATATTGCATTAGGTCCCACCCTCAGGACCTCATTTAAGCTCAGTGACCTCTTCAAAGGTCCTGTCTCCAAATACAGTCACATTCTGAGCTCCTGGGGGTTAGGGCCTCAGCACTCAGGTTCTGGGGGACACAGTCCAACCCACGACGCCCTCTCTTTCCCTCTGCCACCCTCATCACGCTGCCTCTCATTTGGGAGCTGATGGGGAGGCCAAGGGCATTTTGGGGATGTAACTGAAGGGGGGTTGAGTTGGGGATGCCTTGGTTTGGGTTTAGTGGGGTGTGTTTATGTAGGTCTGAGCCAGTCTGTGTGGGTTGAGCCATTGCTCCCTGAACAGGCTAATGGCTCCCAGGACTGCCCTCCTTGCCACGGCACTGGCAATGTGTGCTATGGTGCCTGGTACCAGTAGTCTATGGGCAGAGGAAGACACATGAGGGTTGAAAATGTAATTCTTCCAACAGGAGAGGTCTGGATTTGCAGACCCTCAGAGTCACAAGGCAACTGGAGGGGTCACATAGCCCAGGACTGCTCAGCAGGAGTCACATGGGGCATTCCTGGGATTCCTGGACCTTGCCACTTTGAGGCTTCAATTCAGTGGGATGTGGAGGAGCCTGGGCATATGCATTTCTCCTATGCCTCTCCAGGGATGGGCACCAGCACTGAGGTTTAGGAGGTGTTGGTCGAGTCATGTTCTGGTTTGCAATTTTTCAGTTGCTTTTCATCATGAAAATTAATAAAATCCCAATAAGAAACCTGGAAGAAATAGAATTCTTCCAAGTCTTAGCATTCATTTATGAAAGAATGATAGACCTTTCTCCAAATTTGAAAACAATCTCAAAAAACTACATGACATTACCAATAATGAGTTATGAGGCTGACAAAGTTTTCCAATCAACATTCAAATTGTTCCCATCATTATAGGTGTACTCTGAATTATCTTTCTGTTTTCTCCACAGGAAAAATATTATAAAATCATTGGCTTCCAAAGAGGTAATAAAAAATGATGAAGAAGCTAAAAAAATGTAAAAAAAAAAGATAAAGGTGGATGTCAGGTATCCAATTAATAAAATTTTATGTTAGTTTTCTAATGTTTTTGCAATGTTTTTGATATTTGTCAACTTAAAATATTTTAAAATTTGTCTTGTTTTGTTATTATTCTAAGTAAGTTTTCATTTTTGACCAAGTCTTATACTGGGGTTTTTAAATTATTCTTCCTAAGAGGGACTGTAGAGGCCCCAGGTTTTACAAAACCTGGATCCACTAACTACTAGTTGCCTGTTCAAAAGTCATTCTTCTTCTTTTCCTCACTAATGGAACCCTGACTTTGTTTCAGGCAGCAATGTACCTTCAATTAAAAAAAAAAAAAAAAAATCCTTGGCCGGGCGTGGTGGCTCACGCCTGTAATCCCAGCATTTTGAGAGGCCAAGGTGGGTGGATCACCTGAGGTCTGGAGTTCGAGACCAACTTGGCCAACATGGCAAAACTCCGTCTCTACCAAAAATACAAAAATTAGCTGGGTGTGGTGGTGTGGGCCTGTAATCCCAGCTACTTGAGAGGCTGAGGCAGGAGAATTGCTTGAACCCGGGAGGCGGAGGTTGCAATGAGCCGAGATCACACCATTGCACTCCAGCCCGGGCAACAGAGCAAGAGACCATCTTAAAAATATATAATAATAATCCCAGCCTTCTCTGAAGCCAGGACTGGCCATGGGACACTGTCCCAGCCAATGAGATAAAACAGAGCTCTCTGGGGAGAGTTTTCAGGAAAGTGGTGAAGTGGAGCTGACCTAGTGTGGGTATGCCTTTTGTTCTTCCCCTTCTTGACTGGAATAGTGATGAGATGTCTGGGAAGAGGCAGCCAACTTGCCGTGTAGAAGACACTTTGAAAAAGAAAATTACATCCTGAGGGTGAAGGAGTGACAGAGGATAAAGTGAGGAACAGCTTGCCTTTGGGTTTCTTGTTGAGAGAGAATAAAAATCTGTTTAAGCCACTGTCTAGTTGTGATCCCGATTACTCACAGTCAGACATAACCCTTAACCTATCACAGATATCAAAGTACCACCAGCTGGGCTTTTTAAACAATAGAAATGCACTGTCTCACTTCTGTAAGCTAGAAGTCTGTGATCAGGTGTCAGCTGGTCCACGCTCCCTATGAAGCCCTGGGGAAGGATCTGTCCCAGGCCCTTCTCATGGCTTCTGGGGGTTTGCTCCCATCTTTGGCATTTCCTTGGCTAGCTAATGCCTCGGCCTGATCTCTACCTTCATGTTCACACGGCATGCTCCCCTTGCTTGTGTCTCTGTATCCAATTTCCCCCTTTTATAAGGATAGAAGGCAGACTGGATTAGGGATCCAGCCTACTCCAGTGTGACCTCATCGTAGCTAATTACACCTACAACGACCCTATTTCCAAGTAAGGTCATATTCTGAGGTCCTGGGAATAAGCACTTCAATATATGAGCTTTTTTTGGGGGGGGGGTGGTTAGCAGGAACGTGGGAACACAGTTCATCCCATAATACCTGGGCATTGTCCCTGATTGTCCCTCCCTCCCTCCTGCCCACGTCCAAGCCATGAGCAAGTCCTGCCAGTTCTGCACGCAGACTGCTCTGATGCGCTGATACTTCACTGTATTAGGGTGGGGTAGGCCCCCACACTGCCTCCTTGTCCCCACTCTTGACTACTTCAGCCCATGCCCCAAGGGCAGCCAGGGCATCTGCTAAAGATAGTCTCACATCTGCTCACAAATATCCTAGTTCCTCTCCACTCCCTGAACCTTAGAGGTCTGCACTTCCTCCTCTTCTGAGGTTACGCATGGTCATGTGACCTGCTCTGGCCAATGAAACGTGAGCAGAAGAGATGAGCGTCCCTTGGGACGGAAGCTTTCAAAGCCAGCATAATTGTCACCTTTCATTCACGCTGCTGCACCATGTGGGTGCTCGGCTGGGAGCCCACCTTGGGCTCCCCACCACTCCGATGAACAGAGCCCCACTGACAGAGGAAGGATGTACCATGTAGCAAGACACACCAGGGAGATTTGGGTTTGGTTGTTACTGTGGCTAACACAGCTTATCCTGACTGGTGCAGTTTAAAAAATATCAATCTGACCATAGTCCATGGGACCACCTTCCAGGCGAGACAGTCTCCAAACTCTGCCCAGCCTGCAAGACCTTGCAAGCGCTGCCCCTCTGTGCCCCCACGCCCCATCTTCCACACTCTCCCTCTCATCATTCTGTGGCCCAGACACTTTTATCAGATTCTCAAACATGTCCCGTTCCCTGCAGTCAGGGTGTTCCCCCACGCTGCTCCCTTTGCTGGGTGCTCTTCCCTCCCTTCTCCTTGCTAGAAAGTAAGCTCTGGTGGGCGCCTCTTCCTCTCTGCTGTTCACTATGGTGTCCCCACATCTTCTTGACTGCCTGGCACACAGTAGGTGCTCAATAAATATTTGTCTAATGACACTGAATGAATGTTTGCCCAGCTGAGTCCTGCCCCTCCCAAGTCTCAGCTCGACAGCACATCGTTCATTTGGCTATGACCTGGTGATGTGGCTTTGCTGGGGGCAGCCTGGGCTGGTGGGGGCAGCTCCCTAGGCTGGCATATGTCCAGTTCTGCCCCTTGCTGGCTCTGCCGACTTTAGCGTGCGCTTTAACCTCTGACCTTCAGACCTCTCATCCGTACAGAGGGGGACATGGATCTCCGGGGTCGCTGCGTCTTCCTGACCACTGACGGCCAGGACGGCCCCAGCCCCGCTTTACCTGCAAGCTCCACGCCAGGCTCGAGCCCCCGAGGGTAGGGATAGCTTCCCGAGGCCCGAGCCTTGACCAGAGCCTGAAAGCTCCTCCCGGGGGTTGCTCCGACTCAGCGAGACGCCAGGGTGCCCGGCGCGGCTGAGGGCGCTCAGCGCCGGGACCCCAGCCCTGCCCGCGCCGGCCGCTGGCCTAGTGCGCACGCTCCGGCAGCTCCGCGCCCCCTCTCGCGGCTGCAGAAGCTCTCCCAGAGTCTGCCTGGGGCGGGGGCGGGGGCGGGGGCGGGGGGGGGCGGGCGCCTAGCCCTCCTGCCTGACTGGCAGGAAGACAGACCAATCGGACGGGCTCCCTAGGGAGGGGCGGGGCCGTGCCGGAGCCGGGCGCCGGCGACCGAGGGAGCTGCAGCCACCCGCGTGCGGCACGCGCCGGCCGCCTGCCCCTATCGCGGCCACCAGTGCCGCGGCCTCTCGACTCCCGCCCCGCCGAGCCGCGCGCGCGACTGCCATCCTCCTCAATTGCTTTTTACGATTTTTTGTGCATGCATTCATTTTCTGTTCCGTTTTGTCCTTTTTAAGGCGGTGGCGGCGGCGACACCGGCGTAAGCTCGCAGCGGGGAGGGGGCGGCCGGAGGATGCGGCGCGGGGCTGCGCTCGCTACGCCCGCTGCTGCTGCCCGGCTCGGGCCTGAGCGCCGAGCAGGTGGGTACAGGTGCGCCGGGGGGCGGGAGGAGAGGCGCGCGCAGGCCAGAGAGAACCCGTGGACCCGGCGACCGAGGGGCGGACCCGGCGGCGAGGGACGCGGCGACCGGTGCCGCCCCGCCCCATCGTCCATCTCCCCGTCCTCCGGTCATCGCGCCCCCTTCGGGTCCCCCTTCCACTCTCGCATCCCACCTCAGCGTTCCCCCACCCTTCCGTACCCATCCCCCACTCCTCTTCAGACCCCCTTGCAAAATCTCCCAGCCGCTGCGTCGCTTCCCCCAACACCCCCTCCCGGTTCCGCCCCCAGCCCCCAGCTCTCCTTCACGCCACCCCTATTTCCACTCCTCTCCGGATTCCGCCCCCAAGCCAAGGAGCGGGAGGGGGGACCCACCCGGTGCCTGCCGGAGTGGCCTGGGGGGTGTGGCCGGCCGGTCCCCTCGGTGTCTTCCGCAGGGTAGGTCGTAGTCCCCCAGATCCCCGCCCAGGTGGCAAAGAAGATGGAGCTGGGGGCCGCGCCCCGGCGGCGGGGGGCCCGCGGGCGAGGCCGCCCAGCCTGCACCCCACCCCACGCACCGCACACGCCGCCGCGGCCCCTGCCATGCACACCCTCGCGCTGCTCCGCCCACGTGGGCGCCGGGGAGGAGGCTGGAGAGATGGGAAGAAAGGCTGGCACCCACCCTCCTGCCGGCCCAGCGCGCCCTGGGCGCGCTGGGCTCGGAGATGGCGCGCAAGGATTGACTCCGGTGGTGCCAGACACCTTGCCGGGCGCCGTGCGTCGGGGCCAGCGGCCTCGGTGGCCTACGTCAGTGCGCGCGCGGCGGCCTCGCCTCCCAGCTCCTAGGTCCTTCGCTCCATCCCCCCTACTGTGGGCTCCTGAGGATCCGGCCAGGGCAGCCCAGATAGAGGCCGCTTACGAGGCTGGCTCTTCTTTTCGCCTTAGAAGCATCCCGCTCCCACACACCCCAGCTCGCCGGTCTCCTGAAGGCTGGGCCAACCTCGGCTCTCCGCCAGCCTCTGCCCGGCTCTCTGAGCTCCAGCGATACTGTATCTAACCGCCAGCCCTCCTCCGCCGCTCGCCCCATCTGCGCACACTCGCAGGCACACTGTCCTTGGCCTTTGCCCGTGTTGTGCTCTCTCCGGGAACGCCCTAACTTCGGCTGGCCAGCTCCTTGTAGACCAAGGTCAGGGAGATCCCCTTGCCCCTCCTGAGCTTTCCTGGACCGCGGAGCTGTCCCAGGATGCTGTTACCATCTGACGGCCTCTGCCTTCCAGAGCAGAGGAGGAGGTGGGGAGGAGGACAGGGGCAGCCTCAGCCCCTCTCCCAGGGCTCCACCCACAGTGAATGTTGGGCATAGCAGGGACATCTCCCCTAAGTCAAAGCAACCCGCTGGTGTGGAGGGCGAGGCCATGGGAGGAGTTGGCCCTTCCTCTAGCAACCTGGGCTTGTGGGTGGTGGCTCCAATAGCTGGGATGGGCAAGGAGGAGGGACACATTCGAGGATGGAGTGGGGGGATTAGGATCCTTTCCTAGCAGGGCACTGTCACCCTCCTGGAGATCTGCGGGTCTGCACAGACTGATGTTGCGGCGCACAGTGGAGGTTTGTGGCTTGTTGCAAGATTTTTGTTGCTGAGATATGTACCGGTTTGTAATGCTGAACATCTCCGCTCTGGAGTCTGGGGTAATTCTTACCTGGAGTCTTTTTGCAGTAAGCCGCTCCCAAAGGATCACAGTGTGGACCCAATGCATGAGATGACTGGCATTTTCTTCCTTCACAAACCACCTATGACTCCCACTGCCCCCACTACCTCACCAGTTCCTTCCATCCTGACTTCCCTGGCCCATCTCTCCCCTCTTCCTGCCACGATGTCTCAGCCACGCCTGCTGCCTCTGTGTTGTGTAGACATGTCTTCACACTTGGGTTTTTCCCCACATGCTTTTTTTTCACCCCCCTCTCTAAAACAATGCTCCCCTCCCTTGTGTATCTGGAGAACGATTCATGATAAAGTCCAGCTCTGTGATTTTCCAAGACTCTACCGGAAAGATTGTGTGGTTCTCTCATTGTGTTCTCAGAACTTTTCATACACGTCCAGTGTGATATTTGTTTGTATAGTTTTTCCTTAAGCAGATCTTGCCCACTAGAGACTGGGGACACGGGACACGGGACACAGTGAGGTCACCTGAGAGATGGTCCCACTTTGGTCGGGGCTCTGTTTTCCTAGGGAGATGGCCACACAGACACTGCCCGTGCTGTCAGAGAGCCATGTGCAGGGAGAGGGGGACAGGCCCCTGCCTTGGCCCAGCCAGGAAGGCTGCCTGAGGAAGTGGCAGGACCGTGGCCCCACTCTCTTGGTGTGTAATGGTGGACTGGGCTGTGGGACAAGTGGCAGAGGGAACAATTTCTAGTCCATAAGGCAGCAGCAGTTGCCACTGCAGGCTGTGGCTCTCTGTTTAACTCCTCGAGGGTGGGACCTTGCATCTCTTCAGGCTCTGAGCCAGACTGCCAGGGTTCCCATTCAGGCCCTGCCTCACTTAGCTGGGATTGGGCAAGTGCCTCCCTGCTGGGCTTTCTAACTAAATGGGGGCTTCCCTTGGGGAGTCTGAGGATGACTGCGGTTTGTCCCAGTTCTCCTGGGTCACTCCTCTCCCCATAGTGGCAATGGGATCAACCTGCAGGGCTTCTGAAGTTGGACTCGCTTGTACTTTATCCCTTATCCTTGTGTGATCTTGGGTAAGAGGATTAACCTCTCTGAGCCTCCGTTTCCTGTATAAAAGGGGGCAGTGGTATCTCTTTGGCTAGGTTGATGTGGGGATCAGAGGTGTGGTCCCTGAGCAAAGGTAGCAGCTTTATGAGGGATGATGATGGTGAAGAAGCTATGAGAATATTTATTCATTTAGCCTTGTCACAGAGCAAACTCCCATACCCACATCTGGGGTCCTTCTTTAGCTAACAAAGAAACTAATGATCAGAGCAGTGGCCACCGTTGTGGTGGGCTGAGCGGTATGAGGGACCAGGCTAGGTCAGTGGAACTGTGTTGAGGACCAGCTCCCACCCTGCTGACAGTGTGACATCGGGCAAGTCACTTAGCCCCTGTACTCACTTTCTTTGTCTGGATAAGGGGAATGAGGGCCACATAAGGAAATATCGTCACTTAACCTCCCGCTTCTGCCTTGGGTTATCTCATCTTTGCTGCATAGCACCACACAGGGTGAGGTCTACGTGAACACCAGAGAGGGAGCCGAGTCTCAGGACACCAGGGGACTCAGCAGTGGGGCTCCCTGACTCCAGGCCTCAGATGTTGCCCCATGGAGCACACTGACCCCTGTAATGGAAAACGGCCTTCCAACAGGGATGGCATGAGAAATAGATCAGAAAGCCTTCTTGGTGGTTTTTTTTTTTTTTTGACAGTTTCTTTCTTGTTGCCCAGGCTGGAGTGCAGTAGCACAATCTCGGCTCACTGCAACAACCGCCTCGTGGGTTTAAGCAATTCTCCTGCCTCAGCCTCCCAAGTAGTTGGGATTACAGGCACCTGCCACCAGGCCCTGCTAATTTTTTTGTATTTTTAGTAGAGATGGGGTTTCACCATGTTAAGCAGGCTGGTCTCAAACTCCTGACCTCACCTCAGGTGATTTGCCCACCTCAGCCTCCCAAAGTGCTGGGATTACAGGCATGAGCTACCGCCCCTGGCCCCTTCTTGGTGCTTTTAATGGAAGCACATCACCGTCATGTCCATAGTGGCCATTGGTGCTGCTGTAAACCGAGACTCAGACAGTGACCCAGGGCTGGCCACTGGTGGGACCACAGCATCCTGACTCTAGCCCTGGATGCCTTCAGAAAATGTTTTCTTTGCTCATGCTTTTCTGAGGCCAGGTGGACAGTACAGGGGTCATGGATCAGCAGGGAGGGGCAGGGACAGGGGAGGAGCTCTGGGGGTCTCATGCTGTGAACGGCTGGGTTAGGAACCCCTCCTGTAGGACGTGAGAAGCAGGCGTGCTTGCAGGGAGTGGCCACAGAGGTCATTATTAGGTTGATGCAAAAATAATCGTGGTTTTTGCCATTACTTTTGCACCACCCCCATACTGGAGAGTAGAGGAGAAGGGGCCCGTGGTGAAAGCACCTAGGGGCAGCTCAGAGTGTGGGAGGGGCAGCTCAGAGTGTGGGCGGGGGGCAGCTCCACAGTGGGGCCGGGGCCTCCCTCCTGCCTTTGATGTTAGTATCGGTTTTCAGAACCCCAACGAGAAGTGTTATGCCTTTCATAAGTCTGCAGAGGTGAATTGACAGAAATACCGTTTTTCTTCATTATAACAGTTAACGTGTGTGAATGGCACTTAGCAAGTGCCAGGATCTGTGCCAGGGGCTTTTGTAAATAAAGTTTTATTAGAACACAGCCACGCCCATTTGTGTATGTATGGTCTGTGGCTGCATTTGTGCCAGACTGGCAGAACTGAGCAGCTGGGGGAAACATCTGTGAAGCCAAAGACATTTACTCCCTGGCTTTTTCTAGGAGGAGTTTGCCTCCCACTGGTCTGTGCTGTCTCTGGTCTGACTGAACCAATTCAGTCCCAGAGGGAGGCACGCACCTGCATTTCTATTTTATAGATGGGCACAGAGGGGCTCCGAAGCTCGCCAGGGATTATAAAGCGAGTATGTTCCAGAGCAGGGATTTGAAGCCAAGAAACCCATGTTCTGTTTTGAGGGGAGGAGACAGGGGCAGGGAAATTTATATTTTTATTAGCTTCTAATTTAATTTTACCATATTTAGAGAATGTGGTATGCGTGGTATCTATTTTCAAAAATTTCTTAACAATTCCTTGATGGGCTAGCACCTGACCATTTTAAAATATATTTTTATCATGGTTAATATACTAAATATATCAAAGTATTTAATCATAGCTGATATATTAACCATTTCTAAGTGTGCAATTCAGTGGCATGAAGCACATCCAGACTGTTGAGCAACCAGTGCTACCATCCACCTCTGGAACTCTCTATCATCCTCACC